GGGGGGAGTATAAAAGCCTCACTAAAACAGTACCTTATAACATCATGACGGACCATTTTGAAATGAATGTTTTGAATGAAGTTCTTAACTAGTAACATATTGTATTGCAGAATTTTGTGGAAAAAAGCGACATCATTTAGTTTGATACAAAATTTTACCGCGATTTTTATTTGATACAAAGGATTTATATTTACCTTTGTTCTGTTTGTTTTGCCATCCCAAGTGAACAGCAATACATCATCATCCACCTGTCCAACAATATGAGCATTGCAACTTTCTCTGATGGAATCCACATCTAAAAATCAATCAGTTGTGTCTATCATAAGTTAACTCAAGTAATTGTGTTTGATTCTCCTTGGGGACGAGATTTTAGGGTCCAAACGATGCTGCCGGGTGGTGCACTAAGCACCACCCACGACGTCATCATGGCGTCATTTCGTATTACGTCATATGCAGTAAGCGTTGACTATTGATTACATACCATTTCATGAAAATCTTCACAGTTTGCTATTTGAAACAGTGACTTTTTTGTGTCTCGCTCCGCTATTGTTTGGGAGCTGTAACGTCATTACAAAAAGTGATTAGATTGCAAAAATGCGTTATATAAAGCACCTTTCGCGGTTTTTTCTCATTCTGTGTCACAAGTTGGTGCTGTGAACATCTCTCTTAAAATCCTGGTCTTCACTTAGCAATATGCAAGCTCTGGGTCTTTTTGCTCGCCCTGCTATTCTTGGTCGAACCAACAAGAGTACAGTGGTCTTGGAGAAGATTGTAAAGGAGAATTCTCTTAACAGAACTGGGGCTGTCAACTTTAACAACTATGGAAAGCAGGACAGTGTTGGTTTCTCGCCTTGCAGTGACAAGTTCATGGACAACTTTCTGCTTTATGTATACGTCCATAATTATTTCGTGACAGCGAAGAAAACGTATACGGAAGTTGGTCATGTCAACAAACTCGTTTCGGATTTGGTAAGTGCGAAGTCAAAGCCGTCGCCTTGTCACCATTAAAGGAACAGCCGAAAGCAGACGAATTGGACAAAGTGTATGTGAGGCTTAAAATGAAAGAGACTGACGAAACTGTCTACTACGTACAGGAATTTAAGATTTTCAGTGAGGCGAGGATTACTCCAATGTTCTCGAGTTCCTACGGACCGACGAGTACAGGATCAGAAACATCTTCCTAAAACTAAAGATATCGACGTAACCATGGAATACTCCGGCAGCTTCGACAAAGACGAAGTTATCCACAACCTGACGACCAACGAAGGGTTTCGTATGCAAGGATGTACAGTGGATGCGAACAGGACAATTCTGGACAACAGTGACCAAGTCGGAAACTACATGGAAACTGTGCAGGGTGTGACGACTCGTTGTAAAATTTACAACAAACGTTGGAGAGCAAGAGCGTACGAGAAACCGTTGGGCAGCATTGAAAGGACTGGGTATGCCAAAAGAGCGCTCGTTTGGCCAAGGCTCGCGATTTAGCCAAAGATCGTGGTTTAACTCGGGCAGAGGTGACATTTTATTGCGCAAACAATGTTCCCTGTGACATTCTTATGGAGGGTAACTCTGAGGCGCAGAACACGATACGTGTCGCCTTCTTTGGTCGATTCTACTCCATTTGCAGACACTTGGAGAGCATACTGTGACGCAATGTTACATAGGTTGGTCGTCATCATAGACAGAACACGCGATATTGGATTAATAGTCCACACGTACAATGAATGACAAAGAACATAAGTGGACAGTCTGTAGACAACTGGGGCCGGTTGTATACGAAGGTCGGATAGCGCTATCCACCGGATAGTGATTTTTTCAACCTTTGTAAAATGCTTGAAAAACTGTGAAACTACGGATACAGACGACACAAGAAGTATAAAAAAACATTTAACTTATAAATACAAAACTTTAATACGAGTTATACCAATCAATGACTTATTTAACAAAGGTTGAAAAAATCACTATCCGGTGGATAGCGCTATCCAGCCTTCGTACAACCGGTCCCTGGTTAGAGAATGAAAATTGGTGTCTTGCCAATCTGACTCTTGGTTCCAAGATCCCCGTGGACATTATCGAAATGTGCGATCGAAGTAAAGCTAGAAACGGGGGAAACTGGAGCTCGCTATTTTAAAAATCGAAAAGACAGCGGTGACAACGAGTTTACTACATGACTAGTGTCCAAAGGTACAGCTGGAACGAGGGAAGTAAAGAGGAAAATTTACAGCTGTTGGACAAAGATGGGTTCGTTCCTGCACACCTTATTTCGCACACGTAAAAGGAAGCAAAACATGTAAGATCGACATGGAGCTATGCAGGGCAGACATTCTCGACATTAAACTTCCAATTAAACAACGAAACACTCCCCAAAAGAACAAAAAGAGCAATGGAAATATATTATTGGGCAGGCGGCGAAGGAAATACGAGAGTCGAAAACCATTGGAAGATGCCATCGCAGAGAATCGTCCCTTTTGATAGTCCTAAACATGGTGAATATATCTCCAGGGAAAACTAAGGATGGAGTTAACGTAGTGGACACTCTAAGATAATCTAATCCCCGAGCCAACGGCGCGGAGCGCCGTTCCGGCCATACGTCCGTGGCGAGGGCACTAATTCCGCTCGGCTATTTACACCCGGGGAAAGGAAAGCATTGGCAAAGTGTGAAGTTTATCAAACATCGCGGGCGTCTGGCTATGATCCAAGCATAGATATAGGAGACCTAGATTGCTGACTCCGCTCAACTGGCGTGTCAATTTTTTAAAATCCAAGATGGCGGCTCAACCGAGCAAAAATCATAGAGCGACATAGGGAAAAACCATTGATTTTTTTTGCATTTTGCGTCGTCCTACAGCTTCCGATCCCGTTCTATCACATAATTTGGGGAAGAACTAGCTGGTGTCGAGGTTTTTAGTACAATTTACAAATTAAAATTCAACCGGGCAAGAATGGGCAAAGACAAAAAGCGCGCGAAACTGCCGGCCTGCATGGTTTCTTTTCCTGTGTATATTCATTCAGTCTTTTACAAGTTTTTCTCAAGTAACGAGTAACGAGTAACGTGATATATATATGTAACTATTCTGCAAGCTACTACCGTTTATTTTGTTCTTTCATTGTTATTTCGACCAAAATACAGTATTGATGCGATTCATCTATTTATCTCGGAGACTATGCTGATAATCTATAAAAAATTATCAAAACATTGAAAAAAGCATTGTTTTGAAGAAATAAAAACGTGTGATAAAGGCAATTATTTTGTTCTGAGCGACTAGGGTGATTGAAAAGCACTTAAGCAATCATTGCCTACAGTATGTTGCAGTCAAGAAACTAGCTGGAAAACGTGACATCGACAGGGTCAAATAACTCAAATAGTATTTATTAATAATTTGTTTTCGAAGACCGGATTGAATTTGAAGTCACATCCGAATGAATTGAGATTTGCCGAGTTGCTAGCTTTTGTGAGTAATTTCTGCACATTTATCGCAGGTATTTATTGATGCATACTGTATATAGATTTAATTGCATGAATTCATTCAATTTGTATAAATTCAGTGGAATTTTCAAATATTTTCGACATTTTAAAAACTAATCGCGCACGAGATCGCCTACTCCATGCGTCTGTTCTCTAATAGATCACGGCTCTCGACCAATGAAATCGCACGAATTCTTAAAAGTGATCTACAGTCCGTGTGTAAACAAAGCCTTTGTTTACATTTTTGTGTCCAAAATAATTTATTCGACAACTATTTATATTTTCAAGCTTCTAGAGTATAATAAATGATCAAGAAACAACAATCAGGCTTTTCAAGAACTCAAAACATAGTTAAACTGTTTGTATCATAAAAAGTGGGCTCATTTGTGCACATGCGCAGATCGG